TAGATTGAGGTGAGCACTTCTGTCCAGCCTCGGGATTGGTTTTTGTTTTTGTTGTTTCGGTATTTGTGTCCGTAAGGCAACATTGGCTTTCCTGACAGGGCTTCAGTCCCCTGGTCGTTCCCTTATGCGCCACCAGGGGACGCGCCCGATAGGTAGCCCAACCCACGGGATTATGCGAAGTTATGGAACATTTTTTTTGCGGGATGATGAGGATGATTAGTAATAGATGAGAAAATTATGTGAGAAGCCATACTTATGAATACTTCACTACTTCAGTCTAGCAAGATGGTTGTACGGTGAGTCGATTTTTTTATTGCTCCAAAACATTCATAACAAAAAAAGTTTCACTTTTCTGAATCTGTATTCATTTTCTTTGCTAAGTTTCTTTTCTCAAAGCTAGCTTGAACTACATTTTTACCAGAAGGTTTAGATTTATACACCTACCTTAGTGCCTTTCTAAGCTATCTTAAAGAGCAAGAGATGATATTGAAAATATTAAGCCCACCTCAGTTTTTAACAACCTCGCGAAACTCTTTGAGATAATCTTATACTCTTACAATAGAATCTACATTAGAGTATAAAATGTGATGTCTCTTCACCAACATGGTTTTGAGAATTCCAGATCTACGAAGGTGGTCCCAGAAGTACCAACCCCAACAAAGAAAACAAACATTTTGGAAAAAATGTGATTATTTTCCAACATAATCTCCTTGCAGCTCTATACACTTTTCCCAGCGATGTTCAACAAGTTCGATACCGTTTTTATAATAAGAACTCNGTAAAGTTATGTGCTTATGTTCCATCCACATCAGCTCACTCAAACGACTGTTACATAACAACTGCGCGTCCAAAATGGCTGAAACTTTGGTGAGAACTGTCAACCGATGAACAACAAAATTCACTAGCTTTTATTACGAGTGCTGCCATCTTTATGTTGAGGTCGGAAACTTTTCAGTCCACCCTTGTATGTAACAAACAATTTGTCAACTATGTTATAAATAATTTCATGTATTTTTTCTTTTTTTAATATTCATTTTATCAGTCATTGTACCTAGTTTTGACAAATTGGTCAAAATGGTTTTACTATTATTTTACTATTGGGCAATAAAAGCTGTACTACTATTATTATTTTATTTTTATAATCATCTCAACTCGTACATGTTTGTTTTTTAATTTGACTGGGATTTTCCTTTAAAAATACAGGAATTTTCTCAAATATTCGACAATAATAACATTTTCATTGACTTAGGTAAGAAAAAATTGTTCCTTTCGAATTTTAAAATGTTCGTTGGTAAAATGTTATCTTTTGAAGTATCTGTGTCTTGAGTTATAGTCAAGCCTGAAGAACTTATTATATAGCGAAACATATGTGTTGCTGTGTTAGGCGAAAATCTTAAACTAATTATTTTAATTGACATTTTATATCCGCCACTGAAAAATATCTTTGGACTTTGTTTGTTAGCACATGCATATCTAATCGTATTTGATCTCTTTTTTGATTAAATCTATTTACCAACCTATCAAAATTATTATCGTTGTTGATATAAATAGAAACTGTGGAAATTATATATAAAATCATATTCCTTGCTCATGGAACTGGATATTCATTCTTCCATAATTTCTCGATCTTGAGTTGCACGAAAAAAATTGGTTTTCTTCTGGAAAGCAACTCGCTCTCAATCATTATCTAAAACTTGAAAATAATTTTTTTCAATCACTCAACGGAAAGAAATTCGTCAAAAGTAGTAATGCTACAAATACAACGAGTGGACCGAAGCAGATATGATCCAAAAGAAAGGTCACTGGTTCAAATGAAAGTTCAAAGAAGTGACATCTCATTGAAAAGGCCTTCTGATACTCTATCCTTCGCTGCTTTGATTACGAAAATCGGCTTCATCTTTTAGGAGATATGATAGTACAAACCTATCGCATTATTCTAATTGTTAAAGATAAATTACATTTCGGTAATTTGCAGTTTTTGGCACTCAGCAAGTATAGGTTTTTTGCTCGCTCAGATAAGCATAGCGTGTCTAACCAATAGTGGTGTTAAGTTTGAAAATCATATCAGAACTTTAACCTCAAATGGATATAGAAGTAGGTTGGGGATTTATCTCTTTTCTATAGATACTTTCACGCTAAGTGTTGAAGTGACTTGGCACATTTAATTCCACCAAGAGCGTTACATATCAGAAATATGCGACGGAATATGGCTGTTCATAGTTTTGAGGTTCAACTCAGTACACCTCGAACTTCACTGTTTAAGAACTCTTCCATTAGTTTCATTTGGAGAACTGCGTGTATGTGGAATAAACTTCCTGAGAACGTTTTTCCAAATGGATTCAATCTCCATTGTGATCCGCTACTTTCACAATCCAATGTGAATCGCTACTTTCGCACAGG